GGCTATGTCATAGTGCTACAAAGGAGTTGTATGCCCTTGAGCACAATGTTTATGGTAACAGAGCCTAGGTCACCCTGCACCAGAACATGAGGCATGGGAGGACTTCCTCCTTAGAGGCCTCCTGCGGCCTTCCACAGTTTGTTGTTCCCTGTTTATATGTTACTCATAACCAATTAATGTAGGTACTCTGTAAGTCCTTTCTCCTTGGCTGCTTTTCTCAATAGTATCCTGATTAGCTGAAGCTCCATAGAAACATAAGTAGTACCAGTCTATGATCCTTAGCAAAATGTGCCTGCATCATTTGTAAGGTGGAGGTAGTGGTGGTGGTAGGTTGTTGGTGGTGAGAGATGAGTAGGGACTGACTAATAATTTTTCAAGGGTGGAGACTGCGTCTGATTCATGTTTTTATCCCTGTGATTCCTAGAGCAGCCATGATTTACGATTTTTTTTTTTTTTTTTTTTTTTTTTTTTGAGACGGAGTTTCGCTCTTGTTACCCAGGCTGGAGTGCAATGGCACGATCTCGGCTCACCGCAACTTCTGCCTCCTGGGCTCAGGCAATTCTCCTGCCTCAGCCTCCTGAGTAGCTGGGATTACAGGCACGTGCCACCATGCCCAGCTAATTTTTGGTACTTTTTTTTTTTAGTAGAGACAGGGTTTCACTATGTTGACCGGGATGGTCTCGATCTCTCGACCTCGTGATCCACCCGCCTCGGCCTCCCAAAGTGCTGGGATTACAGGCTTGAGCCACCACGCCCGGCGATTTACGATTTCTTGAAACCTAAGACTTTAGGAGTCACAGTAGTACAATTTTCCCCTCTAATAATCCCTTCCCAATTCTAGCTTCTTTGTCTTAATCTGTTAGTCAATATTAGGGAATCGAGATGTAACTAGAGATGAGGTGGATCAAAGGAAGTCCGTTTTGCTGGTAGCTAAGTGCCCACAGGTGCTGATGAAATTACTTTGAGGTCATATTTGTGGCACATGTAGAGATGACATTCCACATTTCACACTGATTACTGTATGAGCAAAGATGACACCCACAGAGAAGTTCTAGAAAACTCTGCTCTAAGGTTTGTGTCTTGTAGAAATATGGCTGTAGTTGCCAAATTATTTACCAGGAATAAATGCCATTTCTCATACAGCTAAAGAGACGTCATCATATTAAAAGTAATTGGAGATGATACAATGAAATTTTAGTGTTTAAGTAAATTTTCGTATTTTTTATACTAAAAATAATATAAACCTGGATTTCTTTACAGGTGCCAAAGAACGTTCTGAGATCTGTGAAGCATTTGAAAACATCTATCCTATTCTAAAAAGTTTTAAAAAAGCCTGAGTATATCATTTGACCTCTCACATTATTCTGGTTTCAATATGTGTGTATGCCCAGCACAGAAACAGCTGGATTCTTCTACCTTTGACTGTAGATGTTCCAAGTATATTACTTATTTAATTGTAGATGTTCCAAATCCATTACTTATTCCATTACTTTGTAAGTAACCTGTCTAAGAATTGAAGAAAACTTACTCAAAATGACTCTTCTGTGTTATTTTGAAAATTGAACAAAAACATTTCAAAATTTGAGAGATTTAGGGTCTCACTAGAATGATACTGTAGCATCATTAAGACTCAAGGTATTTCCTTTTGGCCAGAAGGGCCGCCATCCAGTAATTTGCCAAAATGACGAACACAAAGGGAAAGAGGAAAGGCATCTAATACATGTTCTCTAGGCCTTTTAGAAAATATGGAGTTGTTCCTTTGGCCACATACACGCAAATGTACGAGAAAGGTGATACTGTAGACATTAAGGGAATGGGTGCTTTTCTTTTTTTCTTTTTTTTTTTTTTTTTTGTGAGATGGAGTTTCGCTCTTGTTACCCAGGCTGGAGTGCAATGGCACAATCTCGGCTCACCGCATCCTCCGCCTCCTGGGTTCAGGCAGTTCTCCTGCCTCAGCCTCCTGAGTAGCTGGGATTACAGGCACGAGCCACCATGCCCAGCTAATTTTTTGTATTTTTAGTAGAGATGGGGTTTCACCATGTTGACCAGGATGGTCTCGATCTCTTGACCTCGTGATCCACCCGCCTCAGCCTCCCGAAGTGCTAGGATTACAGGTTTGAGCCACCGCGCCCGGCGGGAATGGGTGCTTTTCAAAAAGCGGTGCCCCACAAATGTTACCACAGCAAAGCTGGAAGACTACAGTGTTACCCAGCATGCTGCTGGCATTAAATGGTCAGAAAAAGAAGTCAAAGGGTGAGGTGTGTGAGTTAAGTTGAAGCACCAGCTGCTCCACCCAGAGAAGCACACTATGTGAGAACCAATGGAGAGGAGCCTGGGCTACTGGAACCTATTCCCTGTGAGTTCATGGCAAAATAAGTGTCAAAAGAAGAAAACAATTCTGAACTGTACAAATGTTTGTCATCTTTGAGAAGTGTGGTGCCACCTCCCCTAAAACACAGAAATATTTAAACTACATTTTTTTATCCAAAAAACCTCAGTGCTCTGCTGCTAATACATTAATATGGGTTCTCTGAAAATGTATAGCAACATGTAGGAATTTCAAATAACTGCCTAAGTTAGGTACTAGCTGTGATATCTAGCAGGATAGGAATTAATGTGTATATTTTTTGCCTTCTAAAATATTGAACAGTCGATCCTGGTCATCTGTTGTGATTATGCCTAATCAGCAGTATTAAGCACTGTGAAGGATCCTGTGTGAATACAAATGAAACTTAAGTCTGAGACCTTAAAGAATAATCCTAGGCCAGGCGTGGTGGCTCATGCCTATAATCCCAGCACTTTGGGAGGCCCAGGCGGGCGGATTACCTGAGAGGTCAGGAGTTCGAGACCAGCCTGACCAACATGGAGAAACCCCATCTCTACTAAAAATACAAAATTAGCTGGGAATGGTGGTGCACACCTGTAATCCCAGCTACTCGGGGAGACTGAGGCAGGGGAATCACTTGAACTGGGGAGGTGGAGGTTGCGATGAGCCAAGATCGAGCCATTGCACTCCAGCCTGGGAAACAGGAGTGAAACTCTGTCTCAAGAAAAAATAATCCTTTTGTTTGAAATGATCAGAGAATGGTCACTTAAAGATCTTAAACTTTGAGGAACCATTCAAGTTTAGTATAAACTCTATTCTAAAATAACAGTTTTTGCTTTTGTTTGCTGTTGTAATCCTATGTGACTGTATTTTAAAAGACTGGGTAAGATTAAGAAGACCAGGAGCAAAGGGCTCAGATTCAAGACCTAATTGGCTTTAGAATCACCAGCATTTGATGGTGATGTGGAGATTAACAGGGAGGGTCCGGCTAATGCGAATCATGGTTTTGGAGGTAAGTCATCAGTGATTATGTCTTTCACCAAGGTAAGAAAACAGGTTTGTGGGGAGGTAGAGGTCAGTTTCCAACAATTTTTGAGTTTGTGGTGTCCTGGAATGTCACTTGATACCTAGTTAGCAGTTCTGAATCTTTAGGTATGGAAGTTGAGAAAGAAATCTAGGCTAGAGAGAGAAGTCAGGGCAGTTTATCAGTGGATAGCCTAGTAAAATCCTTGAGAATCACTGGTTTGTTTATTTACTTAAAGATGGAGTCTCGCTTTGTGCCCAGGCTGGAGTGCAGTGGCGTGATCTCGCCTCACTGCAACCTCCGACTTCCGGTTTTAGGCGATTCTCCTGCCTCAGCCTCCCGAGTAGCTGGGGACTATAGGTGTGCACCACCACACCCAGCTAACTTTTGCATTTTTAGTAGAGACGGGTTTCACCATGTTGGCCAGGATGGTCTTGGTCTCTTGACCTCGTGATCCAACCACCTCGGCTTCCCAAAGTGCTGGGATTACAGGCGTGAGCCACCGCAACTGGCCCTCACTGGTCTATTTAATCTGACCCGTAAATCCACTTCTTTTCTTTATAGTTTAGAGGCATATTCAAATACTAATTACTCTTATATGATTCTCTCAACACACCACCTGAAATATCCCCTATCCGCCAAAAGAAACTTGAAGGGGGCTGGGCGCGGTGGCTCACACCTGTAATCCCAGCACTTTGGGAAGCTGAGGCAGGCGGATCACCTGAGATCAGGAGTTCGAGAACAGCCTGGCCAACATTGCAAAACTCTGTATCTACTAAAAAATACAAAAATTAGCCAGGCGTGGTGGCACGTGCCTCTAATCCCAGCTACTCGGGAGGCTGAGGCAGGAGAATCGCTTGAACCTGGGAGGTGGAGGTTGCAGTGAGCCCAGATCGCGCCATTGCACTCCAGCCTGGGTGACAAAGCGAGACTCTGTGTCAAAAACAAAACAAAACAAAAACTTGAAGGGAAGTCCTATCCATCTACCTAGTTCAATTGCTCTCAGAGTATGGCCCAGGGCAGGGAAGGTACGTTAGCCAGATTAACTTTTCATAAGAATGCAATTCTGATTTTGCAAGTTCATTTTGGGTTTTCACTATTACTGGTAAAGTATAATACTATTAACCATATTTATTAATCCTCGCTGCATTAGGTACTATAATCCTATCCATTTAACCTGAGGAAACAGGAGCAGAGATTAAGGAACTTGCTCCAAGTCACAGCTATTAAGCATGCGAGTGAGCCTAAATTCAACCTACTTCCAAGACCCTGCCCTTTCACCCTACTATGTTTGCTGTAGTTTTATCCAGATTTAAAAGCATCCACAGCAAGTTAAGTTCCCCTATTCCGCTCCCATTCTGTTTTCCCAGGCTCCTTAGCTTAGAGTATGGTTATTAGAATTTTCTGCACAAGTTTCAGGCTTTAATTCGTAGTTGTAGCCTGAGCCAGCAGATGATGGCATTTTGTTTGGCCGACTCGCCCCGCTAATATAATTCTCCCTGCTTCAGGACCTGTCGCCTGGCAGCAGACTGGAAAAACAACACCGCCCATGACAGGCGCCTGGGGCGGCAGAGGGGTCCGGGGGGCGTGGCCTGAGGCTCTCCGGGATCCCCGACCGCCTACCCCAGGCCCCTCCTCCTGGCCCAGAATGCACCCGGTTGAAAACAAAATCCCACGTGACTGGCTCTGCTCTCAGGCCATCATGGCGTCTCCCAGTGGGAAGGGAGCCCGGGCGCCGGAGGCTCCTGGCTGCGGGCCCCGGCCGCTCGCCCGGGACCTGGTGGATTCCGTGGACGACGCAGAGGGGCTGTACGTGGCTGTAGAGCGCTGTCCGCTGTGCAATACTACCCGCCGGCGGCTGACCTGCGCCAAATGCGTTCAGAGCGGCGATTTCGTCTACTTCGACGGCCGCGACCGGGAGAGGTACGGCGGCCGCCACGGCCCTATTGTTTCTTCTGCTGTGTTTCTTCCAGCCAGGCGGCCGAAGGCTGGAACTTGGGGCTCCCCTTCCGGGCACCAAATCCTAGTGAGAGGAGGAAAAGAGAAGGAGTGTAGCTAGCTGCTCTGCACCGGCGCTTTGCTACTGGGGTACAGCGTAGGGGCCTGATGAGGAAGGCCGCTGTTTCCCCATCACCCACCCAACAGAAGTTTGACCCCCCCCCCCCCGCCGTGCTCTTGGTCACTGGGGAAAAAAGGATTAAGGGGTGACTCTCTGGAGAAGTTTTTCCCTGTTGCTGAGATTGAGTTGGATTCCCAGCTCTTTGCTGTATGTACTTCCATTCAAAAGCTTGGCTTTCTGTTTTCCAAAGCACATATATACTCATTCTCTAGAGGAGAGAGTAAAAGAGAATCAAATAACTGCTTTAGCGGGATTTGGGCCTGGTAGTCTCTCACAGATGGAGTTTGTTATCAGATTTGCGTACTCTAATTTGCGAATTACGGCTTGCTGTTAATTCCCCTTTCCCTTCCCTGCTTCTAAAGATTATTTTGAATTCATAGGAATTTGGGGACGTGTTTTGGCCTTGTTTTACAATTCAGACTGGGAGCTGTATGCCCTTAGTTAAGGGAATTACATTAGGAACATGTTTTGGTGTCATTTCGAAATCTGAATAAAGAGCTACAAGTTCTTGCTTAAGAAAATTGAAAGCCGGGCGTGGTGGCTCAAGCCTGTAATCCCAGCACTTTGGGAGGCCGAGGCGGGTGGATCACGAGGTCAAGAGATCGAGACCATCCTGGTCAACATGGTGAAACCCCGTCTCTACTAAAGATACAAAAAATTAGCTGGGCATGGTGGCACGTGCCTGTAATCCCAGCTACTCGGGAGGCTGAGGCAGGAGAATTGCCTGAACCCAGGAGGCGGAGGTTGCGGTGAGCCGAGATGGCGCCATTGCACTCCAGCCTGGGTAACAAGAGCGAAACTCCGTCTCAAAAAAAAAAAAAAAAAAAAGAAAGTAAAATTATTTTGGCCGGGCGCGGTGGCTCAAGCCTGTAATCCCAGCACTTTGGGAGGCCGAGGCGGGTGGATCACGAGGTCGAGAGATCGAGACCATCCTGGTCAACATGGTGAAACCCCGTCTCTACTAAAAATACAAAAAATTAGCTGGGCATGGTGGCTCATGCCTGTAATCCCAGCTACTCAGGAGGCTGAGGCAAGAGAATTGCCTGAACCCAGGAGGCGGAGGTTGTGGTGAGCCGAGATCGCACCATTGCACTCCAGCCTGGGTAACAAGAGCGAAACTCTGTCTCAAAAAAAAAAAAAAAAAAAGAAAATTGAAAAATTAGTGTGATTAGCTGTAGGTTCTCCCACTCTCAGCTTCTGTTTTAACAACTTAGTGTCAATGATAGTAAGACAGCTAACATTCTGAGCACAAAAGTTCAGGTATTAATTCATTTAACACAACCCAATAACTTATCCGTAACTTACTGCTGAGGAAGTTCCACAGTAAGTGATTTGCCCTAGGCCACAAAGATAAGTGTAGGAACAAGAATTAAAATCCAGACAGCTTGGACCTATGTGCCCACACTTAACCACTAGACCTTACCCTCTATTTGGGAATGTTTTTAGTTCTTAGTATTTCTGTGATCGTGGATGGAGTTTTTCTTTCTCTTTTGAGGAGATTTGAATGACAGAATCTTTTTTTTTTTTTTTTTTTTTTTTGAGACGGAGTTTCGCTCTTGTTACCCAGGCTGGAGTGCAATGGCGCGATCTCGGCTCACCGCAACCTCCGCCTCCTGGGTTCAGGCAATTCTCCTGCCTCAGCCTCCTGAGTAGCTGGGATTACAGGCACGTGCCACCATGCCCAGCTAATTTTTTGTATTTTTAGTAGAGACAGAGTTTCACCATGTTGACCAGGATGGTCTTGATCTCTCGACCTCGTGATCCACCCTCCTCGGCCTCCCAAAGTGCTGGGATTAGAGGCTTGAGTCACCACGCCCGGCCATGACAGAATCTTTTAGTTTGTTGCTCTTTTTTTTTTTTTTTTTTTTTTTTTTGAGACGGAGTTTCGCTCTTGTTACCCAGGCTGGAGTGCAATGGCGCGATCTCGGCTCACCGCAACCTCCGCCTCCCGGGCTCAGGCAATTCTCCTGCCTCAGCCTCCTAAGTAGCTGGGATTACAGGCACGCGCCACCACGCCCATCTAGTTTTTTGTATTTTTAGTAGAGATAGGGTTTCACCATGTTGACCAGGATGGTCTCGATCTCTTGACCTCGTGATCCACCCGCCTCGGCCTCCCAAAGTGCTGGGATTACAGGCTTGAGCCACCGCGCCCGGCCTAGTTTGTTGCTCTTATTGGTCCTCTTAATGATTTTAGAAACTGCTTATGTAGTGATAGCTTTAAAAATTAAACCGGTTGTAAGAGTACTAGGTATGAGATGGAAATGTCAAACTGATGGAGTTAATTGGGTATTTATTTCTGGACCTTCTTCTCTCCCTACAGGTTTTCTTAGATCTATTCACATAATTTAAATACTATCTATATGCTTAAGACTGCCAGACTGGGCTGGGAACGGTGGTTCACTCCTGTTATCCCAGCACTTTGGGAGGCAAGAGGTGGGCGGATCACGAGGTCAGGAAATCGAGACCATTGAGGCTAACACGGCGAAATCCCTTCTCTACCAAAATTTTAAAAATTAGCCGGGCTTGATGGCACGTGATCTGTAGTCCCAGCTACTCAGGAGGCTGAGGAAGGAGAATCGCTTGAACCCGGGAGGTGGAGATTGCAGTGAGCTGAGATCGTGCCACTGCACTCCAGCCTAGGTGACAAAGTGAGACTCCATGTAAAAAAAAAAAAAAAAGACTGCCACACTTGTATTTCTAACCTAAACTTCTCTGAAGTCCAGAAAACAGCTGCCTTTTCAACATCAGTATTTAATTTTGTAATAGGTATCTCCATTTTAATATGGCAAACTGAACTCCTTATTTTTCCTCATAAATCTGTTTTCCCATGCTCATCCCAACCCAGTTAGTGTCAATCTTGTTATTCCTTGGGTTCAGGTTGAAAAACCTTTCCGTTCTCCTTATCTCCTCTCTTAAGCCACTCTTTCAGTCCCATCAACAAATGCCATCAACTCTTCAGAACTTATCTTAAATCTGTTTCACCATCAACTGGTCTTATCTACCAGAGACACAAAGTTATTGCCTCTGATGTCTCTGCCTCCATCCTTGCTCCCCTTTTAATGTAATTTCTGTATTGCAGCTACCCCTGTTATGCTACCCCTGCATTTCTCTGTTTACATCATCCAGTGGTTTTCGTTTTACCCAAAGTAAAAGCTGGAGTCCTTAACCAAAGTTCTATATTGTCTGTTCCTCCTCTGAGTTAATCACCTGTTTTCTACCTTACCTGCTCTGGTGTGCCACTGTGGCCTCCTTGTCTGTCCTCAAACATACCAAGAACACTCCTTCCTGAGGGCCTTTGTAATGGTATTCAGACAGCCAGGAACTCTTTTTCTCTCAGAAATCTTCAGGGCTGCCTCCTTTTTTTTTTTTTTTTTTAGGTGCTGCTCATACATTAGAGAGACTCTTTCTGATCCTACTATTAAAATGCTAACCTCTTGGCCAGGTGCAGTGGCTCACGCCTATAATCCCAGCACTTTGGGAGGAGGGTGGATCACCTGGGGTCAGGGGTTTGAAACCAGCCTGATCAACATGGAGAAACCCCATCTCTACTAAAAATACAAAAAATTAGCCAGCTGTGGTGGTGGATGCCTGTAATCCCAGCTGTGCAGGAGGCTGAGGCAGGAGAATCTCTTGAACCCAGGGGCAGAGGTGGAGGTTGAGGTGAGCCGAGTTCCTGCCCTTGCATTCCAGCCTGGGCAACAAGAGCAAAACTCGAAATGAAATGAAATATGAAATGAAATAATGAAAAGAAATGAAATGCCAACCTCTTCCCTATTTAACCAGCTGTATTATCTTTGCCATAGCACTTATCACCATCTGATGGTTGTGAATGTTAATTTGTCTAACTGCTCCCTGCCCCAGTGTTGGAAACTCTACGAGGGCAAGTGTTTTTCTCTTTTGTACACTGTTGTATTCTTACACAGTAGAAGCTAAGTAAAGATTTATGGGATGACTCAACTGACTCTACCCCTTTTTCCCCAAACACAGTCTGTTTCTAGACCATTTCAGTATTATCCATTATGATCCATTTGTTACTAAAGCCAGAAACATGGGAGTTATCCTAGACTTTTCCTTTTCTCTTACTCTCTACATTCAGATAATCAGCAAGTCTGATTCACTTTGATGTCAGAATATATCTTGAATCTATCCACTTTTAGTTCAGACCACCATCATTTTTCTCCTTACTACTTAGTGATCTCCCTTCTTTTACTGAAACAGCTCTTCCCTACCTTGCCTCTAGTCTCCAAAACAGCAGACGTAATAGAAATGTAAATGAAACAATGTCATGGTTTTGCTTAAACCTTTCATTGGCTCCTATTACATTTAAAATAAAATCCGAGGTCCTTACTATGCATATGACGCCCCATGTGATTTGGTGACTGTTTACCTCTCTAACTTAGACTGTAAGGTTGAATTAAAAATGTGGGCTTTGGAGTCAGGCACAGTGGCTCAGGCTTGTAATCCCAGCACTGTGGGAGGCTGAGGTGGGCAGATCACCTGAGGTGGGGAGTTTGAGACAAGCCTGACCAACGTGGAGAAAACCCGTCTCTACTAAAAATACAAAATTAGCCAGGCGTAGTGGCGCATGCCTGTAATTCCAGCTACTTGGGAGGCTGAGGCAGGAGAATTGGTTGAACCAGGGAGGCGGAGGTTGCTGTGAGCCAAGATCGTGCCATTGCATTCCAGCCTGGGCAACAAGAGGGAAACTGTCTGAAAAAAAAAAAATGTGAGCTTTGGACTCATGCTCCCTTGAATTGAGTCCAAGCTCTACCCCTTGCTATGTGATTTTATTTTATTTTTTTTT